GCCAATTACTGAGAAAAAAATCATGACTTGCCATCTGCCGCAAGAGAACAGCTCTCTCTCTTTCACTAAACTCTGCCTCAGTAAGACATTAAAGTGATAAATAGTTCTACTAAAATAAGATTTGAGGCTATCAAAGACAAATTTATTAAAGCCTTTCATACACAGAAGTCATTTTAAAGGAATATGGTCTATCGCATATTAAGTGTACATGCAGCTATTTCAATTCTGTGATCTATTATTTCTCAATGAAATAATTTCAGCTGGAGTATAATGTTGAAATGATGGATTGCTCGGCATGGAATGAAAAGATTAATAACTACAAAATAGCCACCAAAACTGAATGGAAAACATTATGGTAAATAGTTATCTAGTCAAATATCACATTAATACTAATACAGTTTTTTAAATACATTACACAATAATAAGCCCACTAGTGAAAATAAATATCACATACTTGTACTGAAAAAGTAAAGTGTTTAAAGAGATTAAGAGTATAGAATTTATGGGGGTGTTGGCCATATTGGTACCTTTTTCTATAAAAAGAGGGTACATCAAGGACATCTAAGGGTTCACTCTCCCTAAATGCAATCAGATTAACAGATTAACACGCCACCTCTTTTTTCCCCCCACGTGCTCGTACAATCACCAGCTGTCTCGTATTCTAGTCAACACCAAGAGGACATGTGTAAATCTGCTTACCAGTAACCGATTTAACTGATTTTAACTGATTCAGCGGGAGTCCCCATGGAGTTTTATTGGGAATGATCCCTAAGGCTGTACTAGCTACCATAACCGGACCAAACACCGAGAGGAATAAAAGCGCCCTGAATTTCAGAGATCACTAGAAATTCTCCTTAAACCTTGTTCTGCTGATAACAGAGACCAGCTCCCAACAGTGAACTATGAAACTCTGGATGAATGAAAGAGAATGCACTCTTGTTACATAGAAAATCTTCCCAACTATATACTAGTAATAGAAAGACTTCCAGCCAGCCTGGGTAATTCCTGTGTGTGAGTCAAATGTAAGAGCACCTGTCAACTCTAATGATAACAATATACGTCTGAACCACATGGTAGTTTCCACAGAGAGAGAGAGAGAGAGAAAGAGACAGACAGACAGACAGACAGAGAGAGAGAGAAACTGATAGCATTCTTACTAAAAAATCCAAATGTCAAAGAATAGCAGGGTAATATGCTGAACTACAATGAATCTGTATCTCCTGCCAATAACAATACTAATAATAAGAATTTGTTCAAATTTCTACATTGGCATCAGGTTTGACGGAGACTGTAAAATAACCACTTCACTTTTTAACTGCTTTAACCAAATATTAATTTTTTTCTTTTTTAATTTGAAATATATATGTATGGTATGAGTCAAATCTTAACAGCGTCGGCAGCAGCAAAATACACCTATGATATCGTAACTGTAATACAGTATCTACAATATAGTACAGCATGCTTGAAGTAAAAGGAATATCAAAAAAGAGAGAAATAAAGCCAACCATATAAATTAATTAACTCTCTATCTCTGAACAACAACAACAATAGGTCTACCTTCCTTGTGTTCGCGTCGGCCCCCAAGCAGAATGGATATGGAAGAGACACGGTCATGTTGTTACAAAGGGGATATTGAATTCTGAGAGCCTACTGTCTAGTAATTACTGTAGATAGCTCAATAATTCTGAGGATAATGTCAAAGGTGTAAGCATGGGCAGCAGCCGTCAATATCTGGGATATGTGTAATTCTGCATATTACACAAGTACATGCAGGCCCTTAGCCAGCAAGTTCAAAAGGGGGGTTCTTTTTCTGAAAAAGTGGACCTTTTTCCATAAAAACTTCATGATTCTAGATCAAAGTTTACTCAGAGTGGACCTTTTCCCACCAAAAGGGGCGGTTCTTTCGAACCTCCCGAACCCCCCTGGCTACATGCCTGACATGGACCAAGGGTTCATTCACAATAAAAGTATCGATCTACATAGATCGATCCAACTCTGCGGAGACTCTCGCTGAATGCAATCAGACGAGAATGCCTCATCCTGGCGTTGAGCAGACTGTACAGAAAAGCTGGTGATCCTGTAAGTATGTTAGAAACAAGAGGTGTGTTAATCTGTTAACTTGATTGCGTTCAGCAAGAGTCCCACAGAGTTGGATTGTTCTACACAGAATGGTAGTTTCATTGGTAATGAGCCCTAAAGGAGAGATTCTAAAACTGCAGTATCTATATATGTAAAAGACCTCTGACAAATAAATTCAGTTATACTGGCACGGTGAAAATCATCATCTGTCCACAACCAAATTATATTAATAATTTAGAGGATCTTCAACAAGGAAAGGAAACGAGAATGCTTAAAAAGAAAAACGCTTTTCCTTTACTGAACCCTCCCAACATGCTTGGCTTCTGTTTGGATAATTTCATAAAAAAAACCTAGCAACTGAGTTACTCTCTTAATGAAATCAAGCAGAGAATGGAGGAAATAGTCCAAAGAAGGAAGAATCCTATGAAAGATTCAGAAACCCTCATTAAGAGGCCTCACATTAGAGCCATCTTCTGCTTTAAGAGCATTCTGAGGCAGTCAGGAAATTGGCTCTGAAACCTCCTTTACACTGAAGATAATAATGATACATTTTTACGGAGAGAATGCGTAGATCAATGGCTTCTGTGAGGAGAAAACACCTGCCATCTCGTCTTTTAACAGCTAGTCATACAGAGATGAAAACAAATCATCCAATGAGATAGATTTAATCCAGTACTATCCATTCATCATCCACCCTGAGTTCCGAAGGCTACAGAACCTCACCAAATTACTTTCAGCCCATGCGGCTTAGACGTCTGGGACGCACACTAAAGCTGCTAAATGACAGTTAATTACCCATCGGCCTCAGCAGGCGTGACAGACATCTAAGCTGCCCAGGTTAGTTGCAATTAAGTGAGAATCCCCTCGGAGATAATTTGATCCAAAGTTAGTGTGATAGTCTCTGGGAAAGTACCCCTAGTGTTATCAGTGTGAAGCTGCCAATCCCAGTGCCCTCTGAATCGCCTCGCATTGTGGACAAGATTTTTAATAAAATTTTTAGCAGAGCTCTCTAAGAATAGAAAATCACACAGAGACCGACAAGAAGTACTTACTACAGTTCACTGTCCTTTTTATTGTATGTAAGACCCAAGGAATGCTTTTTTAATAAAGAAATATATTTTGATTAAAAAATACTGTGCTGCATCATCCACTCAATAGGGTTTATAAATTATTACATCCATTAGAAGTAACTGTACTTACTATAGGTATATTTCAATGCACTAAAAAATAAGATTACTTGCAGATTTATATAAATGACATAGTATGTATCATCATTATTTTCTCTGTATTCTGTCCACCATATGTATGAAAAAAGGCATATATATATATACTAAAAGAAAAAAAACTAATATAAGCGATGTAACCATCCATTTAATATCAAGCCAAAGCAACAGTCTGCATGCTTATATTCCTAGTTCTAACTACAATATCTGAGTAACAGATTAAACAATACTGCATAACAACACCATGGGCATCTCTTGCCTCCACTTTCTTAGACCCAAGTTAGGCCCTATTCCCATACACACTATCAGTCTATGTAGATCGATCCAACTCCGTAGGGACTCTGGATGGATGCAATCAGTTAAACAGATTAACCACCACCTCCTGATATTAAGAAGAATACAGAAAAGCTGGTGACTATACGAGTGCGTTGGAAATAATAGGAGACGTGTCATTCAGTTACACTGAGTGCCCTCAGAGTTGGATCGATCTAAATTAGACTGATGGTGCCTGTGGGAATGTGGTCTAAGCCGTATTACTCACTAGTGATTCCATAGGATTACCGTGATCGAGACTTAATGCCAGGATTACAACCAGTCAATAATCAAAATGGCGACAAATCTTCAAAGTAATTGGAAATTAAGAACCAGGAAGCTTGGCATTCAAGAGAAGGGCTTAGGATAAACAGCTTCTTAGAACATGATAAGGTTAAATTTCACAAATTTCGAACACCAAACTTTAAATACATCCATGATCAAGATTATTGGGGAACAACAGAATAATAAGTTAATTTAAAAACATTTAATTATCCCATTTTTTTTTTTTAATTTCAAATATTTACAAAAAGCAAGTTTCTGCTTAGGTCCCAACTTTTAATCAAGAATTACTGCCATCATACTTTTTGGAAAATGTGAACACAACCTATATAAGTTATAACTTTTTTTCTCAATTCAGATTATTTCCCAATGCTAGGCTGTTTGTTAAAAACTGTAGCAATCGTAAGCCCTAAAATGGTAGAACTATTCTAAAAGAAAAAGTGAATCTTACTCCTAGTTGATGAGCAGATGAATGTTACCTTATATACATACCTTGAGACAGCTAAACTGGCTAACTGGCTACTCAGCAGTGTGCTAAGTGAGGAAAAGTCAGGGTAAGCTCAACATTTGAGAGTCCACACATCAGAGATGCAGTTCTGTCTGATCGTGAAATTCATTTTAACAGTAATGTGCAGCAGTTTTTATGCATAAACACATACAGTACACATGACAGTATCAGGAAATGTAAACTTGAGAGGGAGTGCTAGTGCTAATGGTAACGCATGGATTTTCGTGCTGCTACATTCAATTTCAACTTAGTATCGATCTCACAGAAACAGACGCCAAACAGATGCACTCATCATTCATATATTTAAAGGCCATGGATTGAGAACAAAATCCACGGATCGTATGTTTAAATTCGAGTTAAAATGTCACGAATATCGCGTGCATAAATCACTGTAAGATTGCCGCTTTGAGGTTGTTTACATCGACAACCGAAAACAGTCACGTTGTCCCAGGAGTTGAAGTTTCGCTGGGGCAAAATAAGTTTACTTAAACTCAACTAAATACACTCACAAATTACACACTACACACGATATATCAGCTTTTAATCTATAGCTTAAAATATGTGTGCGGAAAGCTAATTCAAGGCGACTAGACTACCTGTTACTTGGCTTGCTGCTCAGCTGGAATCCCGCTTCCGCCGGGTAATGGCGCGTGCGCAATCGTGAGCTCAGTCAATGATTACTTCCGCGAAATTCCGTTCCACAAAGTTTAGTCAAATCAAGGAGTGAGAACTTCTTGCTCGAATTCAAATTCAAATTCAAATAACTTTAATTTATATATTAAAATCAAAATGATTGCCATGCTCGCGTAAAAGACACCAGGTTCAAAATTATACACATTCATTCAGTAAAAATTTAAGGTCTTTGCTAGGAAACGGAGTTTTGATTTTTTTTTTTCATCATTTTATTTCCTGGATTCGTATTAGCTTTTAAGTTTCTGTAGGTGCTGTCAATACTTTTGATGCAGGGAACGTTTATGAAAAAATATTTGTAACATTATGGCTTGCTGTTTTGTTTAACCAAGGAATTATCTTCCTTGCTTTTACAAACTGCCTCAAGCTGACGATGCGAAGGAGTGCGTGCTTCAAGTTGAAAACCAAAAAAACTAAAAAGTACTAGAAACAATATTATATCCATTACTGGGCATCAAAACGATGTGAATGTGAAATGTTAATTAAGTACATCATTCTGTTTCATTAATTCATTCATTCACTATATTTATATTTATTTATTTTTATTTATTTAATTATTTATTTGTTTGTTTGTTTATCTATCTATACTCGTTTATAGGAGACTATACATCCCATTGAATAAAAAATAATAAAATTAGATGTGATTAGGCCTACTCCAGCGGACATATATTTCTACATATTTTCTCTACTTCTATGATATATCCATGTAGACTCATATGTAGACTGTTTATATACCACGCTCAAACAAAACACGCGCTTCCGATTTCGATTTCATAAGTGGGGCACGTATATTGAAACTAGGTCAGTGGGGTGTCTGCTAGATTACACTAAGGTCGGCTCAGCGTCGCGGCTATCTGCCTGGTGAACCGGGCTAGTGCAAGTTCTGCAACGTGTTGTCTGGAGTGCAAACATCGCATTGGCCCTTGTGCACGTCGATAGTTGTAAGTATTTTAAGTTGAAGTTGCAAGTATACTAGTATAATTACTGTAGTATAGATATGTGATTAAAAATAAAGCACACTCGTGAGTCCTATATCTTGTCCACTGACTTACTTTTTAGGTGCACTGTAGATAAGCTGCAAGCAGAGTGATTAAATTTAAAGATGTCTGATCAGGAGGCGATGCGTTTTCCAGAGATCAAATATACCAAGGTACGTATGTCTATTGCACATGTACGTGTGTGTGCGTGTGTGTGTGTGTGTGTGCTTTATATTATCCAGTATAAGCTGTAATGGCAAGCTATGGGTCTGATGGGCATATGAGGGGCATGCACATGTGTGTGCATTTTAATTTGTGGGTCCTTGCATACAAGTGTTTTGGTTGTTAGTGTACAGTACATGTACATGTACGTACACATTTATGTATTCAGTAATCTGTGCACGCAGTACTAGTATGTGTGCTTTGCCTCTATTTAAATTATGTCTCCAAAGTCAAGTAAAGGCACCAAAGTTCAAACCAAGGTTCAAGGACTCAAATGCAAAATACCAAAATATGCACTAGTGCACTTGTGACCCTGGCCTGGGTGAGTGTGGCATTCTTGCATGAACCATGGGTGGAATTTGATACATCAAGATTTTTTACTTGGCATTGTGTGCTAAATACAGGCCAGAAATATGGTATACAAGACGAGGTCAGCTGGGTGTCTATTTTGTGACCTTTGTGAAATGAAATTTGGACTCTTCATTTTTTTTTTTTTTTTTGTCACTGTGGTAGTTTAAAATTGACATTTACATTGGCCTAAAACATTTTTTTGTTACAAAAAGAAAGTAAAAAAAAGAACATTATCATTATAAACCGGCTTTAAACTGTTATGTTTTATGATGATTTACGATATTATGTTTTATGAATTCAGATCTTTATCAACAATGAATGGCATGACTCTGTCAGTGGGAAAACTTTTCCTACCATCAATCCATGCACTGGAGAGAAGATATGTGACGTACAGGAGGGAGATAAGGTATATTGTGGGGGAATTTAAAAGAAAAAAATAATATTAAAAGGATGAAAATAATAGATAATGAAGATTTTTGCACTTTGTGATAGTGGCGCCATAATAATTACTGGTATAGATAATATTGCAAGTAATACACAAACATAAGTATAATTGCAAATATATTTTATTATTGCATGCTACGGATCATCCAAAACTTCCCCTACAGTGTATAGTTTGTAGACTTGTGAAAAAAATTTCAGAAATGGATGACCCTTTATATATTTGAAATTTTGTTTAATATACTTTTTTGTCTGCTTGTGTATTAAATGTCTTATATCACATTTGTTCAAGTATTTTAAAGTAATTTAGACTGATATAATCAATGCTGAAAGGGATGCATGTACACATTGTATGCATGTAATATTAATTTGTTCATTTTAGGCTGACATAGACAAGGCAGTCAAGGCGGCAAGAGATGCCTTTGCCCTGGACGCCCCGTGGAGAACAATGGACGCTTCACAGCGAGGTAATCTGATGGTCAAGTTGTGTGAGCTGATGGAGAGAGATAAAGTTTACCTGGCTGTAAGTTTGTATATATCTTTCTTGTTTGTTTATTTGTTTGTTTGTTTTTACTTTACCTATTCTTAGAAGTGAATAACATGGACTCAGATTTTATGCTCATAGAGAATCGTATACAATGTGAATACAGTTGAATTTATCATTTTAAGCCTATAATTCACCCCTATGTCTTAAATAATTATATTCCTCAGAGCTTGGAGACTCTGGACAATGGAAAGCCATATCTGGACTCCCTGGGAGACCTGCAGATGACCATTGACTGTATTAAGTACTACGCTGGCTATGCAGACAAGATACATGGGAAAACTATCCCCATGGGTATGTTAATCCCTTGTCATGTCGATTGCTGTCTCTCTGAGTGCATGCAGAACAGATGATCCTCAGAACTACTGATCCGCGGATTAAATATGGCCGACCCATCGTAAAAGGTAGCTGCAGGTCTCCACACCTCCACACACGCCATCCCTGCAGGGGCCTGGCAATTAAACCTTAGAGCCAAGATTTAAACCGTTTAATGGCAGATGTGGGGGGCGATGATACCATTAGGATATTAAGTGGCTTCCTTTTATGATGGGTCAGCCATATTTGATCTGGAGATCAGTAGATCCTAGGATCATCTGTTCTTTGGGCTCTGGCTGGCTGGTTTGTTGACTGGCTGGTTTGCAGGATGGATGGATGGATGGATGAATAAAATAATGAGTGCATGTATTGCTCAATGAGGGAATCCATGATAGTTTGTTTCATTTTTTAATGAATGGGGGGGGGGGGGGGGGG